TGATTTTATTAGATTTAATATTATTCTATATTACTAAATCTAATATAATCAAATCTTGAAAATCTTACCTACATAGCCTAACCTACCTAAACTTGATAACCTTCTTCTTTTTGAAGTCATTTAAAAATCGTGAAATTGAATCTCCTTATTGATTAAAATTTACATACCTAATTCTGTAGTAATTTAATTTATTGAGCATAATAACAATTAATATGTTGAGACTGAGACGGCTACGAAAGCCTGCTGTGAAGGTTAACCTGTGAATCGACTAGATATTGATGAAATTTGAAATAATAAGGAAACTCGTATCTTATAAAATGTAAAGTACAGAAAAACATGCAAAATGGTGAGCAGATTCTCTCTTACACTTCTCGTGTACTCGTATGATCCTATCGCCATGCTCGGGACTTGACAGTCAGTTAGGCTGTTGAGACAGCTAAGGGATAGTACTGTACTTAAGAATGCCTGATTGAAACATTCGATTGAATAGTACAGCTAGCGCAATAGCGAGCATAAACCAATTAACGCAACAACTAGATCATTACCACCACCATAAAGCCATAAACACCATATTCGTCAGCGATATTTGCTTTTAGATCACTGTTTTTTTTTAAATAAACATCATGTAAGGAATAAAGCAGGCTTATCTTATCTATAAAACTTGACAATCAGCGGTGGAATTTTGAGTTGCTTGATTTTCTTAAACAGTTTTCCATCATATAGGAAAAAAGGCTTAGGTCATCCAAGTACTGTTCTCTTCGTAATAATATTCGTATATAAATTTAAAAGAAAATTATCTCTTTACGTGTATCAACAGCTTCACTTTGCTAAGTTACGTTTACTTTATCATCATCATCATCATCATCATCATCAGCTGGAAGAATTTCACTGTTGAACGGAGGTTCTTACTTTAAAAAGGTGCAATGCACAACGATTTCGAAGAGACTTGATGTTAACTGAATACCACCGGCCATGAAAATCGACAACACTTGATGTTTTGCTGATGCAATGAAAAGCGTTAAAAATATGGGCTCCTGGTGCCTCAATCATCAGACGAAACGCGAAAATTCAATAGTTCCACTTCATTTACGTCAGGCCGTGGTACTTCCTCGGACGAGCCTGCCCCCCATTCGTATAGTAGCGAAGACTGCTCTTGGCCCTACCACAGTCTTTTTCGTGGTTTATATATAATTTAAAATTCTCTGTGAATTATTCATGTTTCATAAATGAGATTAGACTACTATTTCCCAGTGAAAAAAGGAAAGACGGAACGCGATAAACATAGTCTTAAATTACTATTTTAATTAGAGAATTATGTGTTGTTTATCAACATTTGCTTTGCGTTTTTGCTAGAAGTTTCATTTTATTTATATTCTTAATTAGTTGTTGCTAACAAGAAAGGTCTATTTTGTTCCTTGGAAAAGGATACTGGTCTTAACGTTTGGCCCGAGATCTTCTCTCTGAGCGGTATTTTCTCTTTGTCTGTTTTATATTATTTCCATCATATTAATTGTCATGTCACACATTAAATTGTTTACAGCCTTCAGTCACCCCTTTTGTCGGGCACAATTACTTGCGCGTTAAAAGTATGTGTCTACGGCTACGGTGTCACGGTTCTGTTGTGTTTTGATGAATTTGTAGCGCTTAAATCTTAATGTGGCGGTGGAGCGGGACTGTAGTGGATACGATCAGAAAACCATTTTTTTAGGCTGGTACTACTTTTCCGACATTTATGTTATAACTTTGCAAGCTTTTAACAAAGGGTCGCTGGGTTTTTCTTTTGAAAATTCTCCAGCGTGATTTCAATGGTCTCTTCGGTGGGATCACTTGCATTTCTGCGGCTACAGCCCCCTTAGGCTACAAAAACTTTTTGGTTTATCGTATATAAAAGGAACGCTTTGAGCTCTCAATTGGCAATGAAGAATATTGTACAGTGCCATTAGATTTCACACACTACCCAAAGTGTCAGGCATTCATTGTACAGGAAGAGAGCAATGATATGTCATTGGCACGGGATATAACATATTATACGCGCTTATATAACTCCCTTGCAATTGGTCTCTGCGAGCTGTTCTGCCGACAGGACCCTTCTTGTATTTATTAAATTGAAGTTTAGAGTTGACATTGGGTATTCTGAAACGGTATAACTAATTCTTGATTTACATTTTTTTTTTCGTGCCGCCGTTGTTGGAAAAAAAAAAAACGCCGTTGTTAGAGAATTTATAAGTAAAATACTACTATCTGTCTACTTATTGGCTAGTATAGGAATAAGTTTACTATTAATTTTGATTCTAGTTAATTCGAATAATGATAGTATTTTTTCTATTAATAGATCAAAATAGCAGTAACATAAAGCTTGTGATAAATAAATCTTCTACCAAGTTAATGTTTTAAATATAGTATAAGATCTTCCTGTCTATACTTTTTATCCCTTTCCGTTGAAACTTTAGAATAAGACGTATACATAAACACTCTCCGGTTCCAATAGCTGTGCTCTAAACAAATGTTTAGGTATCCGTCTGTTAGTTTTCTAGATTTTCTGTGATAAAACCGCGAAAGACAAATTTATCAATGAACAAACAATCTCCAGTCAATACACATATTTTGCGTTTAAGTCAAAAGAAACGATCGGTTATTTTAAAAATATATCCGGTTCTTGCTTGGTTAAATTAAACTTGCCGTTATGTAACCCTAAGCAGAGGATGAGAACAGTTTATTGGCTAAATCTTATATCACCATATACATAGAAAGATAACATTATAAACTTACTTGAGATGGAAGTAAATTTATTTCAATAGTAAACGTTCTGCATTTACGTCAGGATTCATTAACATGCCGTTAGAATTCAATAAGAGCTAAGTATTGCTTGAGCTGTTTGAAAACGTTTTAAAACTATATTATGAAAGTTTGAAGTAAGAATAATTAAACTTTGAATTAAGGTTTATTCTTATTGTAAAGAAAAAAAAATCAATAAGTAAATCAAAAGGAAAAAAAACTAAAAAAACGTAAAAAACTAAAAAAAAATGAAAAATAAACCTGAAATTAATAAAAATAATCTAAGTAACTTATATTATTGACAATCCTCCCTTTCGTAACACCGTCATAATTATCTGAAAGATGAGCGTTAAAAGCTTTCAAGTCTGTGTTATATGCAACTATTGCCACCATTTTCTACATTTTTATTTACAGGGGAATGCACGCTATAAAGTATATTACATCTATGTATATACCTGATGAGAGCAGTATTGATTACCCCAACTAGATTCAAATTTAAATTCAAAATATATTTATTCACCTAAATGCTTGCGCATTCTTATGTAATGTCAAAATTTTACACAAAAATCAATACGTCCGTAAGTTACCACCGTTTCGGAAGTGTTAAGAAACAGTTAATGATATGACACAAACATTTGAAATAAAATATTAAAAAGTTAAATATTTACTGGTCATCTGTTTCGACACACATAAATAGTATTCGGGTGTGAAGGTTTCCAAATATAGTATCGACACTACAGTATGTAGTCTTTGAACAGTCTCTTACAATCAGGTTTAGCGTAACGGTTCTGATACTTTGTATTGGATATTATCGTTACTGACTTGGCTCATGAACGGGTGTTGGTCGGCGGTGATGGCATACGGACTCATCAGAGGGGGTCAAGGTTAGGGCGTTCGCGACGCGACCTCCGCCGGCCTCAGCGGGCCGCAACCTAGCCTGGGCGTCGATGGAAACGTAGATGACCCCCCGCCCAACTGTGTCCAGTTAGTTGGGCGTTAGAATTAGGTTTGTACAGTTATAAGAGGACACATCGGCGCCCGTTGTAATATACTTTATACGTGGTTCTCTTAAGCATTATTTTTAGTTTCAATTCTTACGCTCTATTTCTTTTGCTTATGGGTTCGTTCACGCGTCAGAGGAACAAAGAACTAATAATGTATATAGAACATAATGATCTCGGCTCGAGTATAGTTTAGTTTTAGTTAAGGGATCGAAATGTGCACGCTACGAACAAATCTTACTATAGATCGTTTGTAATAACATAGTTTATTGTTAAGGTTGTTAGTTAAGAAATTTGATCGAGCGATGGAACTAATAATACTCTTATCGCTCCAAATGAGCTTTATGTGATATAACAAAAGTAAAAGTAAAAAAGTATAGTAAAGTATAGAAATTATAAAATAAGTATTCGTAATGTATGCTTCAGTAGCTTAAACCCTATTGCTTATAAATATGCAGAGATCTCCCCAACACCCCAATTTTGATGATTAAATACTTGTAAATTTGACAATCTAGCGCTCGCACGGTACCTTTTAATTATAAATGTTAGCCATAAAAAAACAGTTTCCGCTTATAAACGGCAGCATGGCGATAACTGTATTTTTATATAGCTAATATTTAAATTTCTTGTTTATTGTACATATTAATAGATACATAAAATAAGTTATAGGTTCCACTTCCCTACTTATATGTATATATATTCTTAAATCTCCGCTGGCACGAATAATCCTTACAGTTTCTAGAAGAGGCAATTCTAAGATTGTACATATAGAAGTTGTAGTACAGCAGCCTCAGAGCCGGCAAAAATACTTAATTTTAAAATTGGTACTTTCTAGTTTTTTCTCCAAAGGGGGTTTCCAAAGAATAAATGCAGATTGATAGTTCTCGTGATTCATCTTAAACTGTTCTCCCCCCCTGTTGCAATAAAATTAGAAAGTTTATTTTCGTTGGGTGTTCGTCTATATACACAATTTTTTCTAATCGTACGAAGTTATTGCTTCGTTTTTATAGCTCGTGCCTTGCTCGAGAATATTTTATACGTATATAACTTGTTTACAGTTGTTATCGTATTGCCGTTAAATTTTATATTATTCCTGATGGGGTCATTTTAAACTTACCCTTCATATCACTATCCATCTGTGAATCAGGTCCAAACTAGGTCCTTTTTCGGAAAGATAAGCTTTTACTCATCCGCTCTATGTCTAGCCCAGCCCTACTATATTTAGGTTGTTATTTTCAGCTGTCTTGCATATGCTTGCCCGTAATCCGATTCCTTCCTTTGTTCGTTGGAATTTCCCTCCCAGTATTCACTTGATTCGCGGATGGACGGTGGTTGAGGGTAATTTAAAATGGGTCCATCAGGAAGGGGGTCAGTAGCCGGGGCGTGCGCGTCGCGATCCCTGCCAACCTGCGTGGTTGCAATCCGGCTTCGACGCCGATAGGGGTAGAACAGCCACCCCACCCCCCGGCCAGTCCCGAGTTCGATGTTCCGGCCTCGGGAGTGGCCGTAAGCGCCTAAGTTATCCGAACACCCAAAGATATCGCCACACGCAGCGCACTATCGGTGTCGATTAGCATAGGAAACCTAGGATACTTGTAGTTTTATTCATGCCATTGTTGCGCCGTAACACCATCACATACAAAAATTTTAACCGTTAGTTGCTTTTGCTTAATATTGTACTTCCTTTGATATAATAAAATAACCTATTAACGATATATGATATAATAACTTAGTATAGGGAACCGTATTGTGGGTACTTAGGTTAAATGAGATATAGTAATTAATTCATATGTTATCGGTGTGTAGAACCTAATCATGAATTTTAATCAATCAATATATATTACAATGTAACCAACGTAGCATTTGATCTCCCAGCAACTGCTGGGAGATCGTTTTCCCTTGAGATACAGTCTACGAATATGGTACCGGAAGAGCTCTCTACCGGGGAGACACCGCTCTCTTAGTGGTTACTATTCGTATATATCTTTAGGTAGATACGTCGTGGAAGAGTGTCGGGCCGCAATTTTACCTTAAGCTCCGTGGTCTGTGTGCTTGTCTAAATCTATTATAATTAAATGTAATCAAATAGTGTGTAATTTTTAATCTCTTACAATTAAGATTTAATATGCTATAAATTTACAAAAACACGGGCGATAGTATAAGTAACGTAGGTAATTTTAATGTTTATTAATGTAACTTGAATAATTTTGATATGACTCCGTGGCGCAAGGGCCAAGGTATTGGCTTCGGCGTCGGGGGTCGTGGGTTCGATTTCCACACGGTACAACTATTTGTGTGACCCACAGATAGATGTTTCGCATCTGGGTGTTTGTCCGCGTGAAATTTATGTTTGTAAAACGTCCTTACAACACAGGATAATATTATCCTAAAGGGCAGTGTTTTTTTAAAAAAAAAGAAAAAAAGATAAAAAGAAATAACTTAGGTTTAGTGACTTGGCGCGGTCTTACTTATTCCGGGCATAAGACATGATTCGGAATCTAAAATGTGACAAAACGATAACAAAAGAAATTACCGTTCAATTTAAATTATGCTTTGTGTATCCCTAATGTTCTTCAAGTTCTTGAATATTCCCTTAAAAATTCTGAGATTCACTGTAGTCCTGACGTGGTAGGGTTTCACTCCGTGCATGGTTTCCTGCGGTGTAGCTCACCCGATGAGTGAGCCAAGCCATAGATCCGACTACAGGAATAGAGGCTTATTGACTAAGTTACCACTACGCAATCAAACGACCTGTGACTGCTCACTGACTAAAAGCCGAAGAGATCGTGATACGAGAAAGCGAACCCTGTATTGAACCTTAATGACGAGTACACGCAGACGAAGAGTCTATGGAAGTTTGTACGTGGTAGAACCCCGCTTCAGTCTTAACGCGCTGAAACACGAGGTGGGTAGGGTTGTCCGGGGAAGGACCTTCCCTCACAGAATACCGACGAGTATTGCACCAGCTCGCTTCGGCATCTATGTGGGTGATTGATCCGTACTCATTTCCTTAGGCTTACATAATTATAATCTATAAATCTTTATCGTCTTGAATTTCATAATTTTGTTTCATATAGTATATATATATATATATATATATATATATATATATATATATATATATATATATATATGTATATATTATAAACAGATTGTCGGGTATGATAACTAGGTATGAGTAACAAAAGTTCACAAGCTTCCAGCTTCGCACTCGCGACACACAGTGTTCATCGGGTTATACCTAATAAGGAAGCTTTTCGATGGAGGAAACAACAGCTACTTGCAACAGAAAATGATAGACGGAAACGCCTAGAAAAAAAAAATTATAATTATATCAAAAGTAATAAAATATATATATATATATATATATATTATAAACATATTGTCGGGTATGATAACGAGGTATGAGTAACAAAAGTCCAGAAGATCGTAACTATCACTTTTCTTTTAGATGCAATAACCTAAGACATGAACCCGATGAACACTGTGTGTTGCGAATGCAAATTACAAAAAAATATTAATTTGTGTACACGGAAAGGGTAGTTGAATATTTTATGAGATAATTAACTGTCATAATGAGGGTAGATATGTAGCAAAAGGGATATATAAGTCTGATCGATCTGTCAGTACAGTAGTGTGGTGCGGAAGCTATGTCGGTGAGTCAGTTCAGTAATGTTGCATACCCGTGTATCTTTTATCAGATGTATTAGTCAGTGTATTCAGTAACCGAGGCGCTCGGACCGTTTGCGGACGGTAGTCACAGATCAGGCTGAGACGAGTCTCAGCATCAATATCAGAGATCCTTGACTGTCTGCGGACAGGGGGAAATCAGACCAAATCAGTGTAAAGCGAGGCTTGGGGTGGCTATAGGGGAGGTTGGAGGCCACTGCGGGGTTTATCCCCGAATATTATCTACGTACAGAATCGGTGTCTCATTTTGGTAGTAGACACATTGGCAGTATGTGAGTCTATTGGTAATTGCACTAGATATTGGCCATTCCACTTGTGTTAAGACAGTTTGGCGACATGGTGGAGGCGCCGGGTATGTGAAATTCGGATAACAGCTTCGCATTCGCGACACTGTGTGCATCGGCTGCATTTTAATTCGTTAGCGATTTACAAATGAGTCCGAATCTAAGATGGCATTAATAGATGTCCAATACCCGTACCAATTTCCTCATCATGCTAGAAGAAGCGAACTAGAAGTGGTATACTAAAACTACAAACAGTACCTAATATTAAAGTAAATAGGTCTGACTATCGTCGGTGAGATTTTTAAAACCGCAAAACCGCGTAACAGCAGTCTGTAATACCGCATATTTACAAAGGTCACAAAATTGTCAAATTTACGGTGGTAGGGCCACGCAGCAGCCTCGGCTGTTGCATGAATGGGCAGGCTCGTCCGGGTAAGTACCACGACCTCACAGAAGATCAGCGTAAAGTGGAAGTAAGACAAATACTTTCGCGTTTCGTCTGGTGAGTGAGGTAGCCGGAGCCCAATTTTCAAAAGGTTGTCAACGCATCTGTAACCCTAGGGTGTAGCAGATGTCCATGGGCAGCGGTATTCATTCACCATCAGGTGACCCGTCTGCTCGTTTGGCAACTTTTCACATAAAAAAATGAGATTTGAATTGACTCGGTAATGGAACAAACGTGATTTTAGGAACCTCTATTTCGCCTTTATAACAATACTGCGTATTTGTAGTCGGCCAGTGTTTGGCAGCAAAGGCGCGTATTTAATGAATTTAAGAAGAAAGTGATGCGTATGATGCGTTAAGGTAGAAAAAAATGAAATACAGATGCTACCCGCTTACTTGGAACCACGTGCCTCATAGGCCATATAATTGTCTTTGTCGCTTCAGGCAGGTTTTCTTCTTGTAATTTGCACAATAATATATCGCGGCACTCGCCCTTTAATTTAATAGCGATTATTATACAATATATTTATTTTGCGATCAGGCATGTCATCCGCGTCGCGGGGGAAATATTTCTATTCGAAGTAAACACATGGCACTGACGTCGATTATCTTAGTAATTTTGTTGCGTTGCGTTCCATTGTTCTTGAGGTGAAGGTGGAAAATTTGGGAAATTCTCCTTGCAATAATCTCCGGAGAAAACAAGTATAATGATCCCATTGGCCTTTCTTCGTGGTCGCCCTATCATATTGTGTCCTCTATGTCCTGTAGTGTTCTGTAAATGGCCGCAATCGGCACTCAGGCAAAATTCAGTTATGGACTCCAATATGCGAGACAATGACTGGCGTTCCATATCAGCACTAAGTCGTAATTGCCGTCCTCCAATAGATTCTTGCGATCTAGTCGTTCTTATTCTTTTTGCTGCGCTAGTGTACCGAGGCGGAAACTTTCTTCGAGGCATTATTTATATAAATGCCAAAAGATCCATCAATTTTTTTCTAACAAAAATTATATTGTTTATAAAACTAAAAAAGCAGTTTAATAAATACAAAAAAAAAATCCAATACAATAGGCGAGTCAATGAATTAACCAACACAATTACCGAAGCGAAATTAGTATAGACGAATATCCTGGCCAATTTTTTGTTTACCGATATTCCTGACAACTAATCAAATCGTAAAGCAAAATAACGAGTACCGAGCAAAACTAAAATCGTATCGTAAGCAAAATATTATTCTTAATCGAATAAATTCACAGTATTATTATTACAATGCAAATAGTTAGCGAGCAGTTAGTCAGTAAGTTTGAGCCTCTACATGGTGGCGCGGATAACTTAACGAACTTGAACCTTCATAAACATAGCAAAATTTATTCCCCACAGAAAGTTATGCCTCGCTTCTATCGTTCTATTTAGATATAGCATAAAAAATGAACTATTTAGTCCAGGTTAGGTGGACCTAGGTGGCGCATCCAGTAGAATACACCCTTACTGCGGCCGTTCAAACTGGAGGTGACACGCCTAAGCTTAGAATCACGTTGACATACTGAAGCAGTTAGCCACTCATATGGGTCACATATTCAAAGACTCGGGCGCGTAGGGAAACGATTACGGAAATACCGGAGGACATTTTCTTTTTAACTATTTATACCTGCAACCTGCTAGGAAAGCAGGTTAAACTATGAACCATTTAGATAGTGATGGAATTAAAATAATAAGCGAAACCTGTACTTTATAGAAAGCAAAGAATAATTTCTACAGCATATAACAAGCACTGCGAATTCATGTATGTATGCAAGAGCAAAAAATATTGGGATAATAAGCAAGTAATATGTTTTTAGTGCAAAAGAGTGAGCAGATACTTCTCGTGCTACTCGTATGCTCCTACCGCCGTGCTCAGGACTCTACAGTTGCTTAGCCTATCAAGACGGCTATGGGAAAGTACTGTACGTAAGAATCCGTGATTGAACCATTCGATTGAATCATAGTACAGCTAGTGAAATAGTGAGCGTATAGCGACTCCGCATCAACTAGATCCACACTATCACATTACGCTTACTGCGTCCACAGCTTCTGTCTTGTTGCCGTAGCGGTAGTAGCGGTAACTATCATTATGGCGCAGTGACTAAGAGTAAGAATCCGTAATTAAGCCTTTGTATTAAATTTTACCGCTCATAGAAACACATAGCTTTTACGAATATTGTTCACGTAAACCATAGCTAGTACATTCAATCAATTAGAGACATTGAAATGCGTTATCATTGTCTGAACCTGAATCGTACGGCGAGTGGTGTCCGCAGACGATATCATTGCTGACATCAACGGCTACGAAAGAATATTCTTTTCATCAACGACGTACATACGTCATTCTTTAGTATTTATCATTTCTTAAGCACAGCTAGATTCTACGATCATTTCTTAAGCACAGCTATCTAGCTTCTACATGGCTTCTTGTTTTCACTCATTCTTTCTAAACCTATAGGGGTTGTATCAATACGAAATTCTTCGTTAGCGGAAATACCCCTCATTGCTTTTTTTCGGTTCCGTTGAAACCTAGAAATAAAAAGTATATATAAACGGTTCTCGTACTCTCCGGTTCAGAAACTATGCTGTGAGTTAAACGTCAGCTAGTTTTAGAGATTTTCTGACACAACATGCGGAAACCAAATTTTTGTATCCAAAGATTTACCAATGAACAAATAATCTCAAGTCAATACACTTATTTTGTGTTTCAGTGAAAAGATACGATCGATTAATTTAAAAATATATCGGGTTCTTGCTTGGTTAAATTAAACTTGTCGTTATATAACCTTAAGTAGTGGATATGAATAATTTATTGGCTAAATCTAATGACATAATATGATGTGTATACATAGATAGATAACATTGTAGACTTACTTGAGATGAAAGTAAATTAATTTCAAAGTCCACATGCTCCATTTTAGTCTGGATTCATTAATATGCCATTAGAATTTAATTAGAGCTAAGTATTGCTGCTGTTTAACAAAGTAATAAAAACTATATTACGAAATTTCGATATAAGTAAGTGTAATTAACTTTAAATTATTAAGAAAAAAAGTTGAAAAATAAAAAAGATAATAAAAAAGAAAAAGCCTTAACAACATAAAAAACGTATAAACATTCAAAAATAGACCTGAATTTAAAAAATAAAAAAAACTGTATGTAATTTAGATTATTGACAATCTTCCCTTTCGTCAGCACCGGTATCACACCGTCATATCTGAAAGAAGAACGTTAAAATCTTTCAAGGCTATATGATATACATCAATAGTCACCATTTTAGCTCTTTATTTAAAGGAGAACGCATGCTATAAAGTATATTACATCTATATATATACCTGATGAGAGCAGTATTGATTACCTCGACTATATTGGAATAATTCTTAATGTCCCGCTGCCGCTTGCTAAGTTCCGCGGCTTCGGTGTCTCTCACTTCTTTCACTATGCCAGCTCGTTTGCCACTTTATCAAATAATAAAAAACTATCCTCTTCCCGGTTGCTAGGACACCTTCGACGCCACGGTGAGGTGCTGAGTCAGTTAGCACAGCACCCCTAGTCACGAGCGGCATCTTATACAAGCTAAATATCGCAATTTTCTCATTTGTCTCTCCACGATCTCCCTTCGTAGAATTATACCTTTTCGTGAGTCAGGTTACGAATCTTGTAAATCTTCAGAAATATACGTCATTTCATGACAGATAACGTCAGTTCATGATATGAAACAAATATATTCGAAATAAAATATTAAATAGTTTCTTAACAAAAACATCCTTCTTAACACTTTGTGCCAGTCCCAACATCAAATAATTACTGGTTAATAGTATTCGGGTGGGAAGGTTTCCAATTATGTCCTCGAAAGTACAGTATGTAGTCTTTGAAACAGTTTCTTATAATCAGGATTGGCATAAGCGGTGTCTGAGACTTTGTATTGGATATTATCGGTACTGACTCACACACAACGGGTGTTGGTTGGCAGTACGGCCTCATCAGAGGGGGTTAGGGCTAGGGCGTGCGCGACGCGACCTCCGCCGGCCTCAACGGGCCGCAACCTAGCCTGGGCGCCGATGGAAACGTAGACGACCCCCCGCCCAACTATCTGTGTCCAGTTAGTTGGGCGTTAGAATTAGGTTTGTACAGTTATAAGAGGACACATCGGCGCCCGTTGTAATATACTTTATACGTGGTTCTCTTAAGCATTATTTTTAGTTTCAATTCTTACGCTCTATTTCTTTTGCTACTGGGTTCGTTCACGCGTCAGAGGAACAAAAAAACTAATAATGTATATAGTACATAATGATCTCGGCTCGTGTATAGTTTAGTTTTAGTTAAGGAATCGAAATGTGCACGCTACGAACGAATCTTACTATTGATCGTTTGTAATAACATAGTTTATTGTTAAGGTTGTTAGTTAAAGTTGAACGAGCGAAGGAAATTATAATACTCTTATCGCTCCAAATGCGCTTTATGAGATATAAAAAAGTAAAGTATAGAAGGTATAAAATAAGTATTCGTAATGTATGCTTCAGTAGCTTAAACCCTATTGCTTATAAATATGCAGATATCTCCCCAACACCCCAATTTTGATGATAAAATACTTGTAAATTTAATAATCTAGAGGTCGCAAGATATTTTTTAATTTGTATAAGCTTTTTTACTGTACATATTAAAAGATACTAACATAAAATAAATTATAGATTTCACTTTGAATATTTATGTACATATTCTTAAATCTTCGCTGGCACGAATAATCCTTACATTTTCTAGAAGAGGCAATTCTAAAATTGTACATATAGAAGTTGTAATACAGCAGCCTCAGAGCCGGCAAAAATACTTAATTTTGTAGTCCATTTACAACTTTTTGATATCATATTTGCACATATTTAAAGTTTGTAGTGTTTTTCAGTTATGGTACTTTCTAGTTTTTTCTACAAAGGGGGTTTCCAAAGAATAAATGCAGATTGATAGTTCTCGTGATTCATCTTCAACTGTTCTCCCCCCTGTTGCAATAAAATTAGAAAGTTTATTTTCGTTGGGTGTTCGTCTATATACACAATTTTTTCTAATCGTACGAAGTTATTGCTTCGTTTTTATAGCTCGTGCCTTGCTCGAGAATATTTTATATGTATATAACTTGTTTACAGTTGTTATCGTATTGCCGTTAAATTTTATATTATTCCTGACGGGGGCATTTTAAACTTACCCTTCATATCACAATCTGTGGACAAGGTCCAAACTTGGTCCAAATATAAAACTTTGACTCTGCAGCCGCGGCATCATAAAACATCAATCAATTTATTTTTAATGGGAAAGTTAAATTCAATTTCTGCTCATTCGAACTATCTATTAATTTTTGAAATATTGGCGTTGTTTATGTTTAGTATCTCTTTTTTATGGGAAAAATTGCCAAGTGAGCAGGCTGTTCACCTCATGTTAAATGATTACCGCCGCCCATGGACATCTGTAATATCTGACGGGTTGCAGAGAAAGACCGTTAAAATTTTAGGCCCTGGCAACCTCACTCAGGAAACGAAACGCAAAAGTATTGTTCTTCCACTTCACGCCGGTCTTCTGAGAGGCCGTGGTTTTTCCTTTGCCGAGCCTGCCCATTAGTGCAACAGCCGCTAGCTGCAGCCCAGCCCTACCATGTTTAGTTAGTTTCAGCTGTCTTGCATATGCTTGCCCGTAATCCGATTCCTTCATTTTGTTCATTGGAATTTCCCTCCGAGCATTGACTTGAATCGCGGATGGACGGTGGTTGAGGGAAATTTAAAATGGGTCCATCAGGAAGGGGGTCAGTAGCCGGGGCGTGCGCGTCGCGATCCCTGCCAACCTGCGTGGTTGCAACCCGGCTTCGACGCCGATAGGGGTAGAACAGCCACCCCACCCCCCGGCCAGTCCCGAGTTCGATGTTCCGGCCTCGGGAGTGGCCGTAAGCGCCTAAGTTATCCGAACACCCAAAGATATCGCCACATGCAGCGCACTATCGGTGTCGATTAGCATAGGAAACCTAGGATACTTGTAGATTTATTCATGCCTTTGTTGCGCCGTAACACCATCATACCCGAAATTTTAACCGTAGGTCGCTTTTACTTAATATTGTACTCGTACTTCCTGAGATATAGTAACGATAAAAAAACCTAGTATAGGGATACTACGTATTGTGGATACTTGGGTTATATGAGATAAAGTAATTTATTCGTATGTTATCAGTGTGTAGAATTTAATCATGAACTAATTTTAAACAGTAAAATATAATACCGTAGATTCGTAGTGAATTAAAAAGTGACCACCGTAGCATTTGAGACGGTCGATAGGTTAGCCAAGATGGAATCTTAACCGTCAACCACTGGGAGTTTGTCTTTCCTCGAGATTCAGTTTATTAATATGGCACCGGAGGAGCTCTCTGCCGGCGAGACACCGCTCTCTTAGTGGTTACTATTCTTATATATCTTTAGGTTGATACGTTGTGGATGAGTGTCGGGCCGCAATTATAACTTTAGCTCTATGGTCTGTGTGCTTGTTTAAATCTTATATATAACAATGGACGCTGTTCGTTAGACTCGCTAAAACTCGAGAGGCTGGACCGATGTGGCTAATTTTAGTTTTGAAATATTTGTGGCAGTCCAGGAAAGTTTTAAACGATGAGAAATTATGGAAAAATTGCATTGAAAATCAAAATAACATGAATTTTATTTTCCCATACAAACTGTACCTGTCAACCTGTCTAACTATGTCTGTGTAAACTGTAAAACACTTTATGTTCCGATTCCTCTAGAAATAATTTGTATAGCAAAACAACGTTTGCCAAGTCAGCTAGTCTATTATACTTAAATGTAATAAATTAGTACATAATTTTTAATATCTTACAATAAAGATTTAATATGAAAAATCACGGGCTGTAGTATAAGTCACGTTGGTAATTTTAATGTGTTTTAATGTAATTTGAATAATAACTTGCGGTCATAAGAAAGATTTAGTGACTTGCCGCAGTCTTACTTATTCCGGGCATAAGACTTGATTCGGAATCTAAAATGTGACAAAATCATAACAAAAACGAAAACGTAACGACACAGTCACTACGTACCTCAGTTTGCACATAGGATACATAATTAATTAATTGCGTATTCATTAATATGAATTGCCATGCTCCGTGATCAAGCATTTGCAATACAACAGCAACATTTGCAACAGTAATTTTAACATAATATTCTTTTGAAAAAGATGTGATGGACTCCCACACACCATTCAAAAATCACGTTAAACTGCATTGTATCCAAAGTAGTGAATTGCATATCACGATTAAAAAAATAAAATAAAATTGAATTACAATCTGTAATTGAATGAATGCGAATGTATATACATAACGTGTTAATTAATGGCACGTGTTGAGAATAGGAAACATATTATTATGACGTGCCTTTTATGTAACTGAAAAAACCGCTGATACTTACCATCCTAAATAATTATTGTTTATGAAAAGAATAATGAAATGCACTGGTTGATTTTAAACCTACGTAACGTAAGAATAAAATATATAATATATAATAAACAAAAATAAAGTAATATATTTTTGTTGTGGCTTCTTAAATATTTATTTCTTAGGTTTTGTAAAACCTTTATAAAACAGTGGATTTTTTCATCTTTATGGTATTTAAGGACGCTAACGACTGCTCGTCAGGTACGATTTGGCCTTGCTCCTTTTACCGCTCGTGTAAACCATAACTAGCACAACATACCATGAATTAGAAATACTGACAGGCCTTATCATTGTCTGAACTAGATACGTACGTCGAGTGGTGTCCAAGTACGATTTCATGGCTGACTTTGCTACGAAAGATATTTACCATCAGTTACTGAATAGTAATCATTTCTCAAGTACAGCTAGCTTCTACGTTCATGGCTTCTTGTTTTTAATCATTTATCTTAAACCTGGAGGACTTTCTCCAGTATCGTACGAAAGCCTTCGCCCGCGATATCTGCGTTTAGGCTGGTGCTTGTTTATTTAAAAAAAATAATCGTTGAGGGAATTGGCTTATTGTGTCTAAAACGTTTGGCAAATCAGTGGTGGGAATGTTCATAGCATGGGTTTCAGTTTCTTGGTTTTCGTACACAGTTTTGCACATTTTCACTTTTTTTGCATTCTTCGTAATATTTATTTTATATCTATTTTTATAGTAAATTTTCCGAATTAAAGTTAAAATAAAATTGTCTTTTTACGAGTCTCAACAGCTTCCCTTTGTTGTAAAGTGTAAAAGTTAAAATTTATCATCATCATTATCAGCTGGAACATTTTCACTGTTGAACAAGGTCTTACACTTTTATCAACTAAATTCAAAATCTTCTTGATTTCGAAGCGAGCAGCGCTCCAGGGCAACAACTCCGCCTATGGACATCTGCGGCACTTGATGGCTAGCTGACGCGTTGACAACATTTAAAAAGCTCTATTGTAGTTCCACTAGACGCTTGACTTCCGTGAAGCCGTGGTTCTTCAATAATAGAATAATGATTTTATTTTATTATTTATAGATGAAAAATAGCAGTAACATAAAGCTTGTGATAAATAGATCTTTTATCGGGTTATTGTTTCGAATATAGTATAATATCTTCCCCTCGGTGCTCTCCATATTTTTATAGAATTGTATGAAGTCGATGTTAAATATTATCTGGAGACCCAAAATGTGTCATTGTGCCCTTTCTAAAGTCTAGCTTTTCTACTTGTCAACACCCATATACCCTCAATTTAGATCAGGCCTTGTTTATATCAAATGACGGGATATAATATCGCCGCTGTGATATTTAAACAAAAAGTACCCGGAGGACCGAGCTTTGCTCGGTTTTTTTTTTTTTTTGGTAAATCGTGTATTTTGGAAATTACTGAGTAATGAAATATGCATAATATTTTTCGATCTTAGCGACGTAATAATAAGAAAATATGACCTGATGTTCTTCACAAAAGAAAGAACTTTAAAAACAAATCGACAAAAAATTAAAAATAAAGAAAGCAATGATCTGGAATCGAAAAAAAGGAAAAAAAAATTATTTGTGTCTGTTTTGGGGACGCCCGATTACCGACCGAGCTATTATGACATTTTCTCTTGCGGCGAAATTTACCGTCATATTCGAATTATATTTTTCATTCCCTGAAAACAGGGATAAAAGGACATTTTCTAAAAATGAAACCTAGCTAGATCGATTTTTCGCCCCCGAATCTACGCACATACTAAATTTCATGAAAATCGCTGGAGCCGTATTCGAGATTCCGATTATATATATTTATATATATATATATATATATATATAAACAAGAATTGCTCGTTTAAAGGATAACATTTATTATGGTTTATCCATGTAAGTTTTCCGTTTGACATTGATGCGATACTCTTTATTTTTCACCATGCCGTTTAAATGGCTTTTGTTCCTTTCCGTTGAAACGTTGGAATAAAAAGTATATAACACTCTCCGGTTCCAATAGCAGTGCTATGAACACATGTTTAGTTATCCGTCGGTTAGTTTTTGAGTTTTTCTTACACAAACATAGGGTAGCCAAATTTTTATATTCAATGATTACCAATGAACAAATAATTTCAAGTCAGTACACGTATTTTGCGTTTTCGTAAAGTTAAACGATGGTTACGTTAAAAATATATCGGGTTCTTGCTTGGTTAAATGAAACGTGCCGTTATATAACCTTAAGTAGTGGATATGAATAATTTATTGGCCAAATCTAATGACATAATATGATGTATATACATAGATAGATAACATTGTAGACTTACTTGAGATGGAAGTAAATTAATTTCAAAGTCCACATGCTCTATTTTCGTCTGGATTCATTAATATGCCATTAGAATTTAATTAAAGCTAAGTATTGCTGCTGTTTAAAAAAGTAATAAAAACTATATTAAGAAATTTTGAAATAAGTAAGTGTAATTAAACTTTAAATTATTCTTCGTTATTCGTAAAGAAAAAAAGTTGAAAAAAAAAAAAATAATAAAAAAGAAAAAGCCTTAACAACATAAAAAACGTATAAACATTCAAAAATAGACCTGAATTTAAAAAATAAAAAAATTATTGAATAAGAATAGTTTATTGGCTAAATGTTATATCATCATATGCATAGATAGATGACATCGTAGACTTACTTAAGATGTAAGTAAATTGATTTCAAAGACCACGTTCTGCATTTACGTCTGGATTCATGATATGCCTTTAGAATTCTATTAGAGCTAATTATTTCTCCTGTTTGAAAATGTATTAAAAACCATATTATGAAAACGTTAAGCCATATTAAGTGAGTATAAGTAAACTTCGAATTAATCTTAATTCCTATTTAAAAATCCAAAATATAAATCAAAAATAATAAAAAAAAAAAAAAAACATTGAAAAATAAACCTGAAATTAAAAAATATTAAAAAAAAATCATAGTTGCATAAGTATTTCTTAGATTTTTACTACTATTATTGACAATCATCGCTTTCGTAATCACTGGTATCGCACCGTCATATTTGAAAGATGAACGTTGTAATAAAAGCGAACGAACGTTAAAATAAAATAAAATAAACTTTCAAAACTATGTGTGTATCCACACCAATCGCCACTAAATTCCTAAAATCTTATATCAAGATTTAAAACAATGAATAAGTATGTACATCCTTATTTAAAGGAGAATGCACGCTATAAAGTATATTACACCAATATATATATAACCTGATGAGAGCAATATTGATTACCCCAACTAGATTGGAACAATTCTTAATGTCCCGCCGCCGCATGCTAAGATCCGCGGCCTCAGTGTCTCTTACTACTTTGACTATGGCCTTGTCAGGCCTTCTCTTCCCGGTTGTTAAGACATCCGCTCCGAGGACACGGTGAGGTGCTGAGTCAGTTAGCACAGCACCCCTAGTCACGAGCGGCATCTTATACAAGCTAAATATCGCAATTTTCTCATTAGTCTCTCCACGATCTCCCTTCGTAGAATTATACCTTTTCGTGAGTCAGGTTACGAATCTTGTAGATCTGTTATATCTTTCAAAAATGTACGTCATTTGATGACCGAAACTGTTCATGATATGAAACAAACATGTTCGAAATAAAATATTAAATAGTTTCTTAACAGAAACATCTTTCACTTTGTTACCAACCCCAACATCAAATAATTACTGGTCATTTGTTTCGACACACATAAATAGTATTCGGGTGTGAAGGTTTCCAAATATAGTATCGACAGTACATTATGTAGCCTTTGAAACAGTCTCTTACAATCAGGTTTGGCGTAAGCGGTGTCTGAGACTTTGTATTGGATATTATGGGTACTGTCTTGGCTCACGAACGGGTGCTGGTTGGTGGTAATGCCATACGGCCTCATCAGAGGGGGTTAGGGCTAGGGCGTGCGCGACGCGACCTCCGCCGGCCTCAACGGGCCGCAACCTAGCCTGGGCGCCGATGGAAACGTAGACGACCCCCCGCCCAACTATCTGTGTCCAGTTAGTTGGGCGTTAGAATTAGGTTTGTACAGTTATAAGAGGACACATCGGCGCCCGTTGTAATATACTTTATACGTGGTTCTCTTAAGCATTATTTTTAGTTTCAATTCTTACGCTCTATTTCTTTTGCTTATGGGTTCGTTCACGCGTCAGAGGAACAAAAAAACTAATAATGTATATAGTACATAATGATCTCGGCTCGAGTATAGTTTAGTTTTAGTTAAGGAATCGATATGTGCACGCTACGAACGAATGTTACTATAGATCGTTTGTAATAACATAGTTTATTGGTAAGGTTGATAGTTAAGAAATTTGAAGCGAATTATAATACTCTCATCGCTCCAAATGTGCTCCATAAGATATAATAAAAGTAAAAAAAATATAGTACAGTATAGAAGGTATAAAATAAGTATTCGTAATATATGCTTCAGTAGCTTAAACCCTATTGCTTATAAATATGCAGTGATCTCCCCAACACCCCAGCGTAGATGATTAAATTCTTGTAAATTTGACAATCTAGCGGTCCCAAGATACTTTTAATTTGTATAATGTTTTTTATTGTACATATTAATATATACTAACATAGATTAAGTTATAGGTTCCACTTCGGATATTTATGTATATATACTTAAATCTCCGCTGGCACGAATAATCCTTACATTTTCTAGAAGAGGCAATTCTAAGATTGTACATATAGAAGTTGTAGTACAGCAGCCTCAGAGCCGGCAAAAATACTTAATTTTGTAGTCCATTTACAACTTTTTGATATCATATTTGCACATATTTAAAGTTTGTAGTGTTTTTCAGTTATGGTACTTCTAGTTTTTTCTACAAAGGGGGTTTCCAAAGAATAAATGCAGATTGATAGTTCTCGTGATTCATCTTAAACTGTTCTCCCCCCCCCCTGTTGCAATAAAATTAGAAAGTTTATTTTCGTTGGGTGTTCGTCTATATACACAATTTTTTCTAATCGTACGAAGTTATTGCTTCGTTTTTATAGCTCGTGCCTTGCTCGAGAATATTTTATATGTATATAACTTGTTTACAGTTGTTATCGTATTGCCGTTAAATTTTATATTATTCCTGACGGGGGCATTTTAAACTTACCCTTCATATCACTATCCATCTTTGGATCAAGTCCAAACTTGGTCCAAATTTAAAACTATAACTCTCAATCAATTCATTGTTATTCGGAAATTTAAGTTAATTTTTCCTCATCCGCTCTATGATCTATTAGTTTTTGAAGCATCGGCATTGCTTATGTTTAGTATCCCTTTTTTTATTTGAAAAGTTGTCAAGCGAGAACGCCTTTCACGTGATGTTAAGTGGAAGTATTGTGAAAAGCGAAAGTATTTTTCTTACACTTCACGCCGGTCTTCTGAGAGGCCGTGGTGTCACTCAGTAAACGTACTCACACACTCAGTAGACGAAACGCGAAAGTATTGTTCTTCCACTCCACTGCCGAGCCTGCCCATTAGTGCAACAGCCGCTAGCTGCAGCCCAGCCCTACCATGTTTAGTTAGTTTCAGCTGTCTTGCATATGCTTGCCCGTAATCCGATTCCTTCATTTTGTTCGTTGGAATTTCCCTCCCAGTATTGACTTGATTCGCGGATGGACGGTGGTTGAGGGTAATTTAAAATGGGTCCATCAGGAAGGGGGTCAGTAGCCGGGGCGTGCGCGTCGCGATCCCTGCCAACCTGCGTGGTTGCAACCCGGCTTCGACGCCGATAGGGGTAGAACAGCCACCCCACCCCCCGGCCAGTCCCGAGTTCGATGTTCCGGCCTCGGGAGTGGCCGTAAGCGCCTAAGTTATCCGAACACCCAAAGATATCGCCACACGCAGCGCACTATCGGTGTCGATTAGCATAGGAAACCTAGGATACTTGTAGTTTTATTCATGCCATTGTTGCGCCGTAACACCATCACATACAAAAAATTTAACCGTTAGTTGCTTTTGCTTAATATTGTACTTCCTTTGATATAATAAAATAACCTATTAACGATATATGATATAATAACTTAGTATAGGGAACCGTATTGTGGGTACTTAGGTTATATGAGATATAGTAATTAATTCATATGTTATCGGTGTGTAGAACCTAATCATGAAGTAATTTTAATCACCACAATATATATTACAATGTAACCAACGTAGCATTTGAGACGGTCGATAGTTAGCCAAGATGGAATCTTCACCGTCAACTGCTGGGAGATCGTCTTCCCTTGAGATACAGTCTATGAATATGGTACCGGAAGAGCTCTCTATCGGGGAGACACCGCTCTCTTAGTGGTTACTATTCGTATATATCTTTAGGTAGATACGTCGTGGAAGGGTGTCGGGCCGTAATTTTACCTTAAGCTCCGTGGTCTGTGTGCTTGTCTAAATCTATTATAATTAAATGTAATCAAATAGTGTGTAATTTTTAATCTCTTACAATTAAGATTTAATATGCTATAAATTTACAAAAACACGGACGATAGTATAAGTAACGTAGGTAATTTTAAATGTTTATTAATGTAACTTTAATAATATCTTAGCGGTCATAAGAAAGTTTTATTAATAAGACTTGGCGCGATTTTACTTATTCCGGGTATAAAACATTTGGAATCTAAAATGTGACAAAAGGATAAATAAAGAGAAAACGAAACGACTCCTAAAAAAACAGTCGCAATGTACCTTAGTTTGCGCATTGGGTACATCATTAATTGTGTATTTATCGAGGTGAACTGTCTCAGTTCGTGATCACGTATATCCTATCGCCATTACTTATGATAATTTATTAGTATGTTAATTTGGACTACACCAAAATGAAAGATCTCATTCTTCGAAGTGCACTTCGTATCAATGATAATACAATTTCGTATAAGGAGAAAGTAACGAATTTACCGTTCAATTTAAATTATGATTTGTCAATCCCAATGTTCTTGATGTTCTTAGATATTCCTTTAAAAAGTTCTGAATTTGCGGCATTTCACGGTAGTCCTGACGTGGTAGGGTTTCGCTCCGTGTACAGAACTCACGGTGTCCTGCGGTGAAGCGCTCTCGATACGTGAGCTGAGCCATAGACCCAACTACACGAATAGAGGCTTATTGACTACGATCTCGGAAGAAACATGGGTGATCTAACTTGACTATTGACAATGACAAACTCACTAGCTAGCACACCCCAAACCCGTGGGTTCTGGCTAGCCCACCGGTTCTGCGTCAGATGAAGCTTTTATAGTCTCGGGACTGAAAGCAAAAACATCAGTTAATACAAGATACAAGAAGCTAGCACACGATTTCCTGCAGTGTAGCTCACCCGATGAGTGAGCTAAGCCATAGAACCGACTACAAGAATAGAGGCTTATTGACTAAGTTACCACTACGCAATCAAACGACCTGTGACTGCTCACTGACCAAAAGCCGAAGAGATCGTGTTACGAGATAGCGAACCCTGTATTGAACTTTAATGACGAGTACACGCAGACGGAGAGTCTATTGAAGTTTTTACGTGGTAGATCCCCGCTACAGTCTTAACGCGCTGAAACATGAGGTCGGTAGTTTTATCCGGGGAAGGACCACGCCCTCACAGAATACCGACGAGTTTTGCAACAGCTCGCTTCAGCATCTCATGCGGGTGGGTGAGAGAACCGTGGACAATTATTTCAAGTAATTGCAAAGTTATGTTTGTCTTTTAAATCTGTACTCATTTCCTTAGGTTAGGTTAATTACAATCTATCGGTCTTTATCTTCTTGAACTTCATTGTTTTATTCATTTAGTTTAATGTTATTCTCTTTTATGACTAGTCTGTCAATAGCAGTCTAGTCAATAAAATCCAAGTCATAATCTTGTGACAACGGTTATTCGGCCAAATGGACTTCTTTGGCTAGTCCCGAAGTAGAATCTAATTAATAGGGTTTTGTCGCGGCTAAAGTGTCGCCGATGCGTGTGCCAGCCCTACAGGCCAGCGACAACTTACCTCACGGAAGCCCGCGTGCAACAGTAGCGTGAGGCTGCTGTTTCCCGTGTGGATAGTGAGAAGAAATTTAGATCCATTTGCAGGAGCGGACGCATTCCAACTCAGTCCTGATGAGGAGCGATTATGGTCTAGAGCAGTGATTCTCAACCTTTTTTTTTGTTGCGGCACATATTTAACGATTTCAAAATTTGGCGGCACACAAAAAAAAATAAAAATTATTTACTTACTACAACACCCTGCATAAATAGTTTATGACAAAAACTTTAAATATACGAAATAAACTTATATATACTACAATAATAACTAAACGTTTATTAAGGGATTAATTACAAGTTAATAATAAAAATATTTTTAATGCGAAATTTGAGATTGATGTCTTTTGATAATTTCATTTATATTTGGTCGTAAAAATGACAATGCTACTCTCATATCGTCTTCTACATTTAACAATCTTGAAAATTGATCTTTTTTTAGTTTTAATGTTGGCTAGTACCAAAAAATATGTTTCTTTTTAAATGATATAATTTAATAATATTAACATTATTATATATTTACAAAATTTGGCGACACACTTTTGAAATTTGGCGGCACACAAAAGTGCCGCGGCACAATGGTTGAGATCACTGGTCTAGAGTCTTACACAAAAGGGACTAAATTTACGCTTGCCAGCTGGCGGCCTGTATCATCCGTTCCTCAATTCTCTATGTTAATTGTGGACGCATATGCGTCAACAGTATTGACCATTGAATGACCATCATTCTAAGAAATGAAAAATTATGTGACTTTTCCTCTATTTGTTTCGCCATAATTGTTTTAGATCCATAATTTTACTTATTTACTTTTATAACCTCATCTCGAAGTGCACTTCGCTAGAATGACAATGTTCGGCTTTCGTGAAAATGGCAACGAAATGTTGGCAACGTGTTTTACATTTCTATGTTTTTTCGTTTTAGTCGAAAATATTTTTAAGTTTATGCCTTAAATTCGTGTCGGAATTCCGTTTCAAATTGCGGAAATTTTAAGTTACCATAAGCATATTCACATTTAAACGCTTGTGTAACGGTCATCGTATTAGTGTACTTTTGTCTTGATGTAATCAATAATTCTTCCATTTAATTAACTACAACGATTCTATCTATGCGTAATTGTTAGTAATATTTTAATAACTTGACTTATGAAAACTTAATAAAGAAATGCCTTATACGCATTGTCAGTTGTTTAGCTTTCTTCTAGATGGAGCGAAAAAAAAAATAAAAAAAGTATAAAACCCCTTGAACGTAATAAAAAAGCAAAAAAAAAATATTAGAAGTAGGTACCGTGTATCGATGTCATTAGTATTCTATTATGATATTTTATTGATCTCCTTATGTGTATCGGATGCGTTTAGGGTGTTTAGTTAAAATACATATTATTTAAACCTGGTGTTGTTTAGCTACTGAATAAGGAAATCTTCTGGATGAAATTAAAAAAATCTTTTGCTTTCTAGTTGCGCATTTTAGCTTTTAAATTTTTTTAAATTTCATCCCTTCTAGAGTAATTTATTAGAAGTGGTGGTTCCAAGTTAGTTGGTATAAAATTTACTAAGTGGGAGAGCCCCGCAGCGGTCAGATTCTGACCGGGGCATGACTGGGCCTGCTCAACTGGGGAAGTACCACGTAGTCACAGAAGACCAATGAGCAATGATGTGGTTTACCGCTGCATCAACTCGTTTAGGTGAGTGACGGCCATCGGAGGCCAATTACTGGTCAAGAGGCATTCCACCTTAGTCCTCGGGGGCAAAGATAGGCTTTCAACCAAATTATGAAGTAATAATTGTCATAGCTGTCTGTAACCATGAGAATTTTTCTTCATTGGCATCTGTGCATACCCGCATAAAAAAGATCAATCATTTTGGACTTTGGAATGTGTTAAAGTGAAACAAGCGAACCTAATAACTAAACGCTGGCAAGGATCATGATTTCATGTCTCGATTCCTCATTCGTTAGGGTTGACCTACAATAGGATTCGTTGTTTTGTTTGTTATTGAAAATGAGCAGGTCTACGAATAATTCCCGGGATTCCATAGTCACCTCATTTCACCCAGCGATTTCCGTTTATTGAGCTAAAGCCGCAATAAGGTATCACCAATCTGGACTTTACTTTGATTTAATTTCAATCTCAACCTCTCCTTCCCGATCCTCACTTCTTTTTTACTTCTTTTATATCTTTTATGAACCAACTCTTACTTTCATTATTACTTCACTTCTTGAATTGGCAAAATAATTGAAATTTAAATCTATGTCATATTATCTAATATCCCAAATTTTGTCCTAAAAAGTCGCGGCCGTTAATTATTACACCATTACCTTGACATTATGAGTTACGTATTTCATCTCATATCTTCCATTAAGCTCTCATCAGTTGTTAGTATTGTTTGATTATCTCTCTTTACTTAACTTTAGATTTATTTAAAGAGCAAGGTTAAGATTTGCGCTGTTTTTAATTTAAAGATTTTCACATGAAGTTATGGAAATGCATACGCCTTTATTCGTCGTATTATTTAGTTACAATAAGGTTTGAAAAAAATATGTTCATTGATTGCATTATTTGACAACGTTAGTGAACACTGAATTGTATTATATGTTCATGTTTAATAATTATGTCTTTTTTTCTTTCATTTATATGTTTGTGCACCTACCTAAACTTCACAGTATCACCCTAACGTTGACTGGTAGAAAATGCTGTCAGGATTAAGTCCGCCTCTGTACTGCTTTTTGTGCATTAAAGTTTAAAAATAAAATAGAAACAAATAAATGATAATACAATCACTGTCGCTTTTTCGTTATTTCACTAGTGTTGATGGAGTGTGTGGCCAATTTTGGGTCTAAATTTTGCATTTTAAACTTAATCTCCAATAACTTTCTGTGAAAACGTAAATGTTGTTGCACTTTAAGTCGATAAAAGTGGGTTGGAAAAGACGATATTAGAATGTAAGTTAACTGTGCTTACAGCCGTATGCATAGATTTTAGTTTATTTGTTTGTCGACCACTTTGTCGTTCAACCACTTGATATCTGAAAAAGTTGAAGGCCCGTGGTCGACGCAAGTTATGTAAGAATACGTACTGTTTCGCCTTGCTGGGTTATATGTACCAGAGAATTTACTGCGAAGAAATAAAAATCTATTAACATCTGTACGTTATGATTATATTGCATGCCATTTTATCTTTACTAAGCTAAACGTATTACATTAACCCACTTTGTATGGCAGTGGTCTAATTAAGGGTTTTCAATTAATATTGTATAAGTTAGGATCCTTGCTATTTATCTCAAACTTATTTAATTACATCTTAATAAAGCAGCCTATAAATGTTTACAATAACTTATCTGAATTCAATCCATGAATGTTATTCGTCGTAAATGTAATTGTTGTTAGTGTCGTGCTACTTAAAACTTACCAAATCTCTCGCCCATTTCGTATAAGTCATTATATTTTGTAACTCCATCGGTAACATTTTAAAACTCTAATTGTATTATCTAACATTTTTAAAGCCTTTAAAACATTGTACCTTTATCCCCGATGTATTATTATTATTACACTTTTCCAAACAAGTGTCTATGAAAAGTATTAAATTTGTATTATTAAACATTATTAAAACGTTTCAAACATTGTATTTATAAAGGTCGGCGCGAGCTATGTAAGAATAAGTACTATTTCACCACGCTGAGTTACATGTACCAGGGAATTTACTGTGAAAAAAAAAAAATATCTATTAATATGTTGTGATTACATAGCATGCTACTATCTTAACTCAGCTAAATGTATTACACTAACCCATTTTGTAGAACAGGAGTCTAATTGAAGGTTTTCAATTAATATTGTATAACTAAGATCCTTTTGCTATATATCTCAAACTTATTTAATAACTTATTAATAAAGCAGCTTATAAATGTTTACCGTAAGTTTAGTGTAATCGATAAATGTCATTTTTCGTAAATGTAATTGTTGTCAGTGTCGTGCAACTTGAAACTTCTAACCTATATCGTATAACTCATTTTATTTTGTTACTCCATCGGTAACATTTTAAAACTCCATTTGTATTATCTAACCTTTAAAACATTGTACTTTTAAAACTTTACTCCCGATGTTTTATTATTATACTTTTCTAAATAACTGTCTATGAAATGTTTTCATTTGTATTATATTATCGAACAGTTTTTAAAGCCTAATATTTGAAATATTGTATTTTTTAAAACTTTACTCTCGATGTATTAATACTATACTTTTCTAAATAAGTGTCTATGAAATGTCTGTATTGTGTGTGTGTGTGTATTAATAAATGTCGACGTAAATCCGTTTGTTTCCTTTTATTCCTATAAGCACCTAAAATAGATTTGTATGTCACTTATGTTAATATGGATATAGAATAAAAATCACTACAAGGATAGATATTCTGGCTAAATAACGATAAGTATGGGTTCCGCCAGGAAAAGATTCGAGGTCTGCATGACGGAACTGAACGAATTTCGATGTTCTGTGAATGTAAGAAGAAACAGAAACATCATTATATCAGATAACACATATGCACCAGTAAGAGATATTGATCCTGTATTCTTTATAATTATGGGGGCTTCCCTGTTGTATCCCGGATCCCAAGGTCCAATTCCAATGAAATTGATATGGGATCACATTGGAACTAAACGAGACGTAATGCAAAATTTCTAATAACAATTCTAAAGGTTGGCTCATAAATGACGGAGTTCTGTATCAAATATTAAAAAACAATCCAACCAAAATAGGAAACCCCTACTTTGTTGAAGTAACAATTAGTTATTATTGACGTCAACAAAACGCAAATGAATAAATACTTCTAAGTTGTGTTGATCTAGAAACTGAAAGACACTAGAAAAACACTGTGTTCATCACATTATATGATTCTCGTAAAGACGATCGAACCGACATCCTCTGGCGCTCAGACTGGTCCACTATCCACTACGCCAAATGGATCGGAGTAGCCGACCGTGGTAGAGTCACGCACTTCTCTACTACCTAGTCTACTAGTCTACTACCTAGTCAGTGGGCAGGTCGGTCCGGGGAAGTACCACGACCTCCCAGAAGATTGGCGTGAAGCTAATGCTTCTAGCATTATATTTCTGCGCTTCGTTTGGTAACTGTGGTAGCCGGGGCCCACTTAATTAAAAGGTGTTAACGCATCTGCAACGGTACGGATGTTGCAAATATCCATAGGCGGCGGTTGTCATTTAACATCAGGTGAACCGTCAGGTCGCTTGTCACCTACTCGCATAAATAAACTTAAAGTATATGAAAATGTATGAAGGTAAGCGTTTTAGGTGATGGAAAAATCAATACAATTCTTACAAGAAATTGAAAATGTAATCAGTGTTTCCTTAAAGTCTATTTAGGAGAAATCCTTTAGTTATGACGAGCTGTGTTACTCGCTATAAGGTAAGTACAGACTTAGGATACTGTGAAAATAATTAATTTTATTAAGTACTGTTCCGGATGGATTCAATCATTAGATGTTCTTAACTATCAACACGATCCACTGATATATAGTAATAATTCCTACGGCCGTGTTCACAGAAGTAGAAGCTAACAATAACATGCTTCGAGACATGTAACATGTTCTGTGAATGCAGTTTGTATCTTCTTGGATTATACGTTAGAGGTTTTAATACAATAAATGATAAAAAAAAATTAAAAACTTATATAAGCGAAAGACCCTAGGAACTCCGGACTTACTTGGTAGAATTGTTTCCTCGGAAAACGAACTCACTTTTAGTAATTGGAAAACTTTCAAGTGTGCCACACCAGGAAAATTCTTGGTTACGTGAACGGTCCATGCCCAATCCAAGCAATGACCAAGCCGCTAAAACAAATAAAAAATATAATCATTCGTGTGATCAAAATCATAATCAAGATCCATAGTAATTGTTTCGGATCTGGGTGAACAAAGGTAGAAAAAATAGAACACAGTGTATTTTTTATATGACTAGGTGGCGAACGGGTTGGCGATTCCTTTAATGTGATAACCGCCGCACGTTTAAATCCGCAAACCCATGGAGTAGCAAATACTTTGCATCTTTTAAAGAAGGTGATCCCGGTGACCTCGTCTGGTAAGGGTACCAGACGAAACTTCGAAGAATACTTCCACTTCACGCCGGCCTTCTGTGAGATTGTGTTACTTCCCGTGTCGAGCCTGCCCATCCGTAAAACGACAACGGCTGTTGCTTAATCCCACCACTATGAAAATAATTTGTATAAATATGTTCAGAAACTCATTAAAATGAATTAAAAATGGGAAATCCTTACTTCCTTACTAATATAATAAAGGCGAAAGTTTGTATGTTTGGATGTTTTTTACTCTTTCACGCAAATATTACTGAATGGATTTTAATTAAACTTTACAATAATATAGCTTATACATCAGAATAAGACATAGAGATTATAATTTATATACATATTTTATGTATATCTGTCTTTCTGTCTTAATGTTACACCTTCAGCCTATTCTACGCAGACGTAGTCGCAGGCAGCAGCTAGTATGTAATATATCATACAATTACTACTTAAATCGTCAATAGTCTAAAACTGTTAATACTATCAAGAAATTGAACCCTCGCCTGATGGAAGGAACAAAACTAATTTTGGAACAATTGTATGAGCACTTTGGGCAATTTTAAATGGAGAAAAATTGATAGGTTTGCTTCTGAGGATTGCTAATGTCACAATTGTTATTGGCGTGAATAATATTTTTTGTGTCGTTGCTTACTGCAAACATAAATATGTAAGACAAGACTTCTTGACAAAATTTTAACTTTATTTTGCATATAAAATAACTCTACTTGCATATAAAATAATTTGATTATTCAATAAACAACCTTTCGTACCAGATATTTTTTGTGCCATACCTACTCAATAAAGTACCAACTTGATGAAACATCAATACGTCGGTGGTAAACTAGAGGGTCACCTGAGGCCTTTTTATTTTCAATTCTTATTAACTTATGACTAAAAATAAAGTCGATGACCCGATGGACGTGGTGGGAAGTGGACCTGTCTCTTACAGCAGAGTGAGTGGATTCGATCCCCACTACTGAAAAATGTTATGCGATAAACTTAGTTTTTTCTAGTCTCTGAGTATTTATATAATCATCTATAATATTTCATCATGTATTTATTGACATAATGACTCCGTGGCGTATTGGCCAAGGTTTTGGCTTCGGCGCCGGGGGTTCGATTCCCACACGGGACAACCATTTGTGTGACCCACAGTATCGCATCTGGGTGCTTGTAAAGGAAATGTTTAAAAAAATACACACACACAACAATTGTACAGAGTTGGTGCTCGGTAGCTGATCGGATAACACTTTGTCTAGAGTATACTAGATGCTAGCATCAAAGCAAAATAACAGGTAAATATAATCAAAATCAAAATTCATAAAATAGTAAGCCATGTCTGCTATACTATACTTCAATCTATGTCTAGCATACTAGTGTATGAGTATTTTGCAAAGTTCATCGAATATGAAATACACCTAAGAGATGTTCTTGGGCGTAGTATCATTCCTTGCTGGTGGAAAAATATTCATCAGATTATCAGATTATACCTAAGCACAAGAGTATCGATAAATGTAAATGTGGAAAGTGTCGAAAGTTGGAGAGAGATCGAAGAGCTGTTGAAAATAAAATCTAAAATGTGAGATGTCTATAAAAGAACCTGATCTATAGAGAACTCAAATGGCGGTTTCCTTACAAATATCGATAAGGTGGTGGACACATGGAGTGATTGAGTTTTAAAGTAATTCTTGTGATAATTATAACCAGTGGCACTTATATCCTACGCAAGCAAAATTCTATTGTTCGTTGTCAACAAGCGCCTGAAAGCTTACAATGTCAGTTTAGTAGAGCGAGCAGGATTTGTTAAGGGGCTTCGCCGACTACTCGTACAGAATGTCGTTTGTTAGCCTGGAATGTCTATAGAGCATTCTAAAAGAATTACGATTACCAAAGTATCTCATTGTTCTCATTGTAAACCTTGTTCAAAATGGAGGTTATAAAGGTGAACAATATTTGGTCGAAATTCTTTGACCCGCATAAAGTGTTAGACAAGGATGTATCTTTGTTTCATCTATTATGAAGATACGATGAGACGAGCTCTGCAAGGTTGGCAGGGAGATTTATGTATTAGCAGGTTAATAATCAGAAATCTAAGATATGCAGATAATACTTCACTATTTGCATAGTTCAACAAAAAATGCCTGAGTCTATAGTAGGGATAGATAGTGAGTTGGTTGGACTCAGCATATACAAGGCAAAGATCAAGGTGTTGATGGTGGATAGACTACTTCGTTCTAATAAACTCAGAGAACTAGAATTCGTTGATCAGTATGTCTACCATGGCAAAGTGTAAAGGTAATCAAAATGTTTTATGTAAGAAGATGGCAAGTGA